CAGGAATGCATCACTAGTGGGAGTAATTTGTTGCTTGGGTCTCATATTTTCTTTAGAGACAAAATGTTCCTTGGGTATTTTCTACTCTGTTTTAATGAATTTTTTTCTTTTTAATCCTCAGATACGAGTCGGAGGACTGAAATACCAAGAACATGTGATCTATCAGAAGCTGCCATAGAGAGAAACTGTAGACTGGTACTATTTTTCAATAATTTTTGTTTTGAATGGTGTATTTTTTTGCTTCTAGTGCTTAAAAGAACTTTTTATTAATACTAATAACATGCTGAAACTCCTGTCTTACTTCCTTATAAACCTACAATTTATAGGTATTAGTTTCTGTAGTCAAGTTTTTAATTGTTAACCGTGACATTCCTTAAGAAATAGCAGACAGGAGCATACTGAAGAACTGAGACCATTCTTCACAAAGAAAAGAGTTTATTTTTGTTAAGAAAAGAAAAAAAGAAAAAAATAAGCATTAGGGTTTTTTGGTGTCTCTGAGGTACAAAGTGCAGTTGTTACTGTTGTATAGTTAGTGTAGCCATGAAGTGACGTTATATGTGAAAATTCCATCAGTGGAAGTGGAAAGTAAAAGGAAAAAATGAAACATGCTGATTCTGTAATGTTATTTCGTACTAGACATCTCATACCTCAGCAAAATGTGGTCAGTCACATTTTGCTAGAGGGTGTTCATTAGATATGCTTTGTAGCGGAAGCACCAGACCCTGTCAAATAAAAACACTACTTGGAGTTACACTTTTTCACTTGAATTTATTTGAAACAAATTTGAACATCAGAATACAGATCCCAATTTTGCCAGTATTCTTAAGGTTAAGGTTATAATCTGAAAAGACAGGAAAGCTGCTAATGAAACAGCTTTCTTGGGAAATAAGTTATTTTAGATGTTTTCATCTCCTTTTTTACCGTAACCTCACGAGAAAACAGCTTACTTCTCTCAAGGCTTTTCCTTGTAATCCTCTGCCTTGCATTTATCTGGCAGCCTCTTAATAGTGAGTTCTACTTGTTCATCTGTCTCTGTATGTATGTTGTATTTTACTCCAAATAAAACCATTATGTTTTCAAACATTCAATGTCCAAGGAGCTGTTTTTTACTGAAATGATTTGTATAGCTCTTTGTTTAATATCTGTAGAAAGGAGTAGCAGATCAGTAAAGACTCTTGCTAGAAATGCAAATGTGTAAGTTACATGGAAGGACTGGGAAAAGGCTGGGGGGAGTGTGCGTGTTACAGAAACTGTCACTGACAGTGCTCGTCTTGGAAGCTGCTTGAACTGAGATGCATCGTTTTTCTTCATTCTTTCTCAAACAGGCGAAGCTGTTAAAATTGCTCAAGCAGTGATGCTCCAGTCAAACCTGCCATACATTTGCAGTCTGTACATTCTTTTGTTCTCCTTTTTCCCTCACTGGTTAAACAAGATTGGTTTGGGATAAATTCCTGTGTCTGTAGCATGATATTGCTGTGTCACAATAGTAGGGCCTTACGGGGTGACATACTCTTCATGCAGTGTCAGTTAATTCATGAAAGGTGTTATTTTGCTCCTTGTACAGTCACTAAAATGTTAAGCTCTTAATAGAGATGGACCAAGCAGCTTCCTGGCCTGTGTTTGGTCAGAGCAATGACGTTGACACCAGCAGATGTGCTTGTCTGGGTGAATATTGTGTTTTTCTTTATAATTAAACTAATTTTAATGAGATGACTATTCCTAGATTGGCAAGTAAAGGGTGAAGACAGGCAGAGAATCTCCTGATTTCTGATGGTTTTCTCTTTTTCTGATAAATCTTTGTCTGTTGACTTAGCAGGAATATTGTCTCGGTGACAGGCCTTCGTTATCCGCTTAGAAACCATCTCAACAAGAAAGTACATTGAACTCCCGAATACAGATGGGTCTTGGTGAAATCAGTTGGCTGTAGGCAAGTGTGCTTACAGACCTTGTTATCTCCTCACATGAGGAAGGCCAGTCTTGCAGAGAACTATGCAGGGCAAAATTGAAGCACTGACTTTGATTTCCTGTCTGGTAGATGGCCGGTTTGGCGAGTACAAGATCTCTGTGATGCTGTTGGTGGTTTGTGTTGCACAATGGCCAAGGCAAAGGTCTTGAGAAAAAATACGTCAAATACGTCAGCTGTCAAAGATGATGTACCTGTCCAAGAAGACCTGGAGCATTATACAATCGCAATTCTCTCTCTCTTTTTTTTTTTTTTTTTTTAAAGTTCATTACAGAGCTCAAACAGACATCATCCATTTTTCCACTTCAGCTGTTAATTCCCTATTTATGTCTGAAAGGAATGTTTAAAAAGAAATTTTCTCTGTAACTGGCTGATCTGCAGGAATCAAATCTTTTTCAAGCTAGGTGGGTTTTTTTTTTTTTTGCTTGCAGACTGAAGCATATTTTTTAAAGGAATGAAATCCTGGCAGCTGAGCTCCACTAGTATTAACTCTGACAGGTAACAAACAGCACTGTGCTGTGATGGTGACGTGAGTTCAGCAGTTGGTCACTAATAAATGGGCCAGCAGTGCTGCATGCTGTCATCTTAATGAGACAGGTATTACCTGATGTTTAATGTTCTTAAAGCACTCCTTCATCTGTTTTTCTCTTGTGGATAACAGCCTTTTTTTTTTTTTTTTCCCTTTTTGATGTCCTAAGATGAGTACTAGTATATAACACTTAAACTGCAAGTGCTCCTCTCTATTTGATAGACCAGTGTAAGGACGTTTCACACACACCTTGCTTTTGGGAAGATGACAGCCATCTGCCAGGCACTTACATTTCAATTCAGCTAAAAAGTTCTTAAGATTCCTCAGTCTGCTTTCCCCCTTCTGGCATTATCAAGGACTGCTCTTGGCTTCTGTGTGATACCAAACGCTGTCAGACCACGGTCAAACGATTCTCATTGCCACGGGAAACAAAAGTGAATCATCTTGGGGCGACACGTGGCTGAATGGATCACGCTTGAAATGTTTGAGCTGTTGTAGGAGGCCAGGCCTTTTGAAGCACGTTAAAAAACAATTTAATGGGAATTGAAGATAAGTTTCTATGTGAGCAGGTAAGAATTGTTATTGTCATTATTATTGTAAATGTTTCCAAATGGCTTTGAGCAGAGAACTCTCCCCGAAGGCACCTGGTTCTGCCCTCCCTAGCAGCCTCCTCTCCGACACACCCTGGAACACCAGGCAGCCTGTTTGGAGCCAGCTCTTCTCCAGGTAAAGGTGGGTAGATACATGTGATTCTATTTCAGCAGTCTTAATATCTAGAGAGTTTGGGTTTTATCATTTTTTAATTATTATTTTTGGAAACCTGTTAATGTAGTGTCCTGGGATGTCTGTTGCAAGTGATCTGGTGCTGAGTGGCTGGTGCAGGACGCAAACCCCACAAACACTCTCACATTTCTTAGGTACTGGGGGAAAAACTTCCTTCTAATCCTCCTTTCATGTGAGCAGGGAAATGATCAGAAGTTCTTGCGTGTGTCAGCAAGAGGCTTATCTTTGCCCTATGGATAAAGCCCAAGTCCTCACCCAACCCAAAGGAAGGAAGGTCAAGGGAGTTGAAACCTTGAATGGCCTCAGAAATAGCCATCCCACGGGAAGAATCTTGAATTGTTACCTGTTTAAATACCCTCCAGTATATTTAAAGCCTGTCTCTCGAGGAGCCGCTGGATGCCTGTGTGCACGGCTGCCTTTAAAAACTCATAGTAGTTTGGGAAGTGAGCTGCTTGCAAGACGGACATTTGCGGGAGAGGTGAGGATTCATGTCAGTGCACCTGAACTTCTTCATCGAGCCCAACCCCAGCCAAGAACACCATGCCCGTCTGCCCGCACAGCTGTCCCAGAACAGCAGTAAACATTTGAAATGTCATGGGAAGGAGGGAGAGAGCCCAGGAAATGTTTAACTTGATTACACCCATCGGTAGCAGTGATCTATTCACACGGTAGCATCTCCAGTGCTGATGATGGGCTGTTTTTAGGGCTGTCCTGTCTGTGAGTTATTCGATGCTGTAAGTCATTTATAAGCACCGTTTGTAGTAAATCCCACAGGCAGTGACAGACATTTAACTTTTTAATAATCTGCAAAAGTTTTTGTGGTGTGGGACAGTTAATGTATCTGTAGCTTCTTGGTGCACATCCTTCAGTTTAACAGCATATGGATCTTACGTTGCCCAGGATTTTTCCTTCTGGCAGAACTCAGGGTTACCCGTGTGATGTATTTCCAGGGCTAGCTGGCATGTTGCAGTTCTGTGGGCAAGACAGGAACAGCGAGGATGCTGCAGAAGAGCCACGGGCTTCCTCAAAACTGCACTCTGGGAGGGTCTGGCACACCCTATGTTTTCCAAATACAGCCTCCATTTCCAGCAGCACTAAAACACGCTGCGAGGAATGAATTCACGAGAGATGTATACATTTTTTGCAGTCCCCTTTTCTAGCGTGCAAAACCCCAGCATCCTGCTCTGCAACTTCACTGCTACCAGTGGCTGCTCAGCATGTCCCCCAGCGTCATCCTGCTGGTTTCAGCAGCACTGCAGGAGACACTCTGCAGTTTGGGCTCGTGTCCCAAGGCCCCGTGGTAGGGTTCTTGCCAAACCCACAGCTGGATGCCTCAGCTCTGCCGGCAATGGCTGGGATGCTGGAACAACACACACATGCTGGCAGGCAGCAAGGCTGGCGCTGGAGGAATGACCCTGACAGCAGCCGAGTGGGTCTGAAAAAAAATAAACCAACACGTTTAGACAGAGGAAGAAACCTTGGACTTGTTCATCTGCTTTTTATTGCTGCAGGTGCTGCTGGTAGCTACTTCCCTGGGAGCCCTGTCTGAAGGGGCTGGGCTCAGTGTGTCCCTTGGCAGGGACACAGGCACACGGGGTTTATGGTCAGACCTGGCATCTCGGTGTGTGTTCAGACCACCTAAAGGCCTCCTGGGTCCTTCTGCCTCCGTGACGGGCAACGGACAGCTTTTCCCGGTTTTTGGAACTGGGGCATGTGCTGGGCTGGCTGGGGTGAGGGGATGCCCAAGGACCTCTTTAGGGCAAGCACTGGGAACACAAGCCAGCCTCACAGCCACTAAGCCCAGTCCTAACGGTGTGGGAGTCCCTTCCCTGCACTGTCAGATCCAAGTGTCACACAAATGCTGC